TCTCTCTCTCTCTCTCTCTCTCTCTCTCTCTCTCTCTCTCTCTCTCCCTCTCCCTCTCCCTCCCTCCCTCCTCTCTCTCTCTCTCTCTTTAAAAAAAAGAAATATGTTTCTCATAGTTTTGAAGACTGGGGAGTCCAAGATCAAAGCACTAACACTTGGTGTCTGGTGAAGAACTTACATGGCACGGAGGAGCAAATGCTATGTTTTCACACAGTAAAAGGTGAAAGGGCAAAAAGGGCCTTTTAACTAATTACCTCCAGCCCTTTTGTAAGGCACCAAATGCTTTTATGAGGCTTTATCACTTCCAAAATAGGCCCCACCTCTTAATATTATCAAAATTGGAATTGAGTTCCAACATGAAGTTTTCTTAAGACATATATTCAAACCATAGCAGTTATGATTAAGAGAAAAAAGTTTAATATTCTTTAAATGTCTTCTTTTGCTTCCCTGAAACTCACACTTATTTGATGATGACTCTTCAACATTTTATCCGAAAAACTAATAAATTAAGGAATATTTTGGAATGCTAGAATTTTATAATTTAATAATCATTTAACCTATACAAGGCAATGTGATTTACAAAGATAAGTAAAATATAGTTTTTCTTGCACAAAAAATTGAACCACGATGAGAGAAGTAAAATTCAAGGGCTGAATCTGGTATAAATGTCTTCCATTTTTTAGGGCCAGGCAGCAGTTTATGTAGAGCATTACATTGAAAATCTAGTTTTTTGCAATACGTTTTCCTGTTAACATACCTTAATATTTCTCTGTGATTTCAAGGTATTCATGAAATGTTCAGGAAAAGATGCCTTTTTTAAAGTCTCAAATTCTGAATAGAAATGTGTTTAGGACTGGGTTTCAAACATGCATTTAAATGATGTAGTTATTCTTAATGATATACATATATAGCATCTTGTGAATAAGACATATGTTGTAAAATATCTATAATCCTCAAAATAAATGCCAAATTGGATCTTACTTCTTCCTTGATTTTTTTTTTTTAAGACTTGAGATAGAGAATAGATTCCCTGCTCTTCCCAGATGGAGCAATTTTCTAAGGTGCCAGCTTATCAAGGAGAGATGCAGACTTGTAGGAAATGCTTTGTGTGAGCAAAGGGGGAGCTATGAGATGGGTGGATCCCTACAGATCCCCTGGCTATTCTTAAGAAGCAGGCTCATGGGATTGCCTACTTTGGAGGTCATAGTTACCTCCTGTATAACCATTGTTAAATTATAGGGAGTTCAAGGCCTACAGTGATTAACACCATGCTTCTCCTGCTCCTACCTAAGTAACAATGACAAAAGGAATAAAAATTCTTCCCAAAAGTTAGACCATGACATTGGCATGCTAGAAGTTTTTACTATGGAAGTTTTGAAAGAATGAATCAGTATTCCTAAGCAAAGCCAACTCTGGAATCCGGGCAGGTTTGCGTTTCTGAGCAGGGAAGAAAGTGCCACCTGTATTAGTGGGAGTGGATTGTCTAGGGAGCAGCTGGCCTTCTCCAGCCACAGCCTTTTCATGGCTGGTTGTTGGATCTTTGGATTCTGTGTAAACATCTTGGCATTGAGAAAAAGGAGTTAAAACTCTGAAAACATTCAATGAAATCTCTTTGTATGCCGCTCTGTTGGATGAGGGAGGGAAAATTCAGAAGATGGGTGAGGCAGATAGTGAGACCCCCTGGTACCTGGGCTGTGGCAGAGGGAGAGTATTTGACCATGAGAATGGGCTGGAACAGATCAGGGTCAGGTCAAACAGAAAGTAGATGGGGAGTTTTTGGGTCTGAGTCTTGAAGGAAGAGGTTTGTTCTTTCTCATTCATAGTTTACTCTCCCCTAAAACCAACTGAAATGGGGGGAAAAGCATAGGTTAGAGAAAATAAGTCATGCTTCTCCTGTTCTTTCTGAAGTAACAATGACATAAAGAATAAAAATTATGAATAAGTGTAGGAGTTCTATCAAAGTAGCATTCCTCTTTTGCATCCTTCTCTTGGGCACTTCTTAAAAAAAAAAAAAGAATACAAACAACAATAAGTATTGTCAAGGATGTGGGGGAAAAGGCCCACTAGTACATTGCTGGTGGGACTGCAAAGTGATGCAGCCAATATGGAAAGCAGTTTGGAGATTCCTTAGAAAACTGGGAATGGAACCAACTTTTGACCCAGCTATCTCACTCCTATAGCATACTATAGGGACACAGCCACATCAATGTTTATAGCAGCACAATTCACAATAGCTAAACTGTGGAACCAATCTAGATGCCCTTCAATAGATGAATGGATAAAGAAAATGTGGTATATATACACAATGTAATATTATTCAGCAATAAAAGAGAATAAAATCATGGCATTTGCAGGTAAATGGATGGAGTTGGAGAAGATAATGCCAAGTGAATTAGCTAATCCCCAAACCTAAATGCCAAATATTTTCTCTGATATAAGGAGGCTCAGTCATAGTGAGGTTGGGAGGGGAGCAGGGGAGGATTAGAAGAACTCTAGATAGGGCAAAAGGGTGGGAGGGGAAGAGAAGGGATATGGGGATAAGAAAGATGGTGGAATGAGATGGACATCATTACCTTAAGTACATGTGTGAAGACAGGAATGGTGTGAATATACTTTGCATACAACAAGAGATATGAACAATTGTGCTCTATACATGTAATATGAACTCTAATGCATTCTGCTGTCATATATAACACATTAGAAGCAAAAAAAGACACTAATTCATCAGAAAACTTTGTCAGAAGAATTAATTAGACCTTATCATAATCCAAGACATTACCATAATTTGATAAAATGGTTTAAATGAACAATTATTTATTTTGGAATAAACATTCTCTTGATTCAAGCTAATAGTATGATAATATAATAAACTTTAATGTAATCTGGGATGATGTAAAGCTGGTTTGAAGTTATTTTCTCAACTGGAATTTAATAGTAGAATTGTTTCTGCTGAAAACATAAGAAATCATAAATACCTGTATTGTCTACATATGTTAGAAATTCACAGCAACTGCAGTAAAACTGATTTCAAAGTATTTGTTCCATCACAGGTTGAAACTCCAAATAAGCACTCCTTTCTAAACGGCTTGAAATGCATTTTTCTTAGAGTTAATCTGTTGTATATACTGTACTACCTCTGTTCTTTAAAATGGAAATATCTTTTTTTTGTTGTTGTTTTATGTGTGTAGTGCTGGAGATTGAGCTCAGGGCCTCATACATGCCAGGCAGGCCCTCTACCACTAAGCCATACCCTTCGCCCCTTGCCCTTATCTTTAGTTATTTATTATTTATGTAATTTAACCAGTTCTTCTTCTACCTGGGGGGGGGGGCTTTTTTTTATAATTAAAGTGGCTATAGTTTTTTTCTTTCTTATTTTAAAACAAATACACACACATGTTCACATATTAAAGAAGAAAATTTAGAAAACTATAAAGATGAAAAAATTCTCTCCGCAATTCTACCAAGAACTAATTACTATTTTTTTGCCATGAAAGCAATTTTTTTGTTCTAATTACTATTATTGTGTTATATTTTCATCTAGTCACTTCTCTGTGTGTAAAAGTGTATATAGTAGAATTCCATTTTTAAAAACATAAAAATGGAATTCTACTATATACTCTGTTTAATAGTATCCTTTTTCCTGCTTTTAATGAACCACAAATATTTTTGCATATTTATAATTATAGATTGCAGTATTATTTTGAGCAGATGCATAAATTTCATTATGGATGTTCCATAATTTTAAAATAATTTTTCTTTTGCTTGTAATCATTTAGGTTTCTAATTTTTCACTCTTTTATGAGGCTTTATGAACATGTGTGCATATATATCTTTGTATACTTGTACACTTGCCAAATTATTTCCTATAGTAAATTTCTAGGAGTACAATTGCTGAGGCGAAAGGTATTTAAGGGTTTGATATATATTAATAAAGTACCTGTCAGCCCGTTGTACCTGTTTGCATTTCCAACAGTTGTTTTTAAACATGCCCATTTTTTCACAACCTCATCAATGCCAGCTACTTTCAAGTTGTTTAAATCTTTGCTTGCATGATAAAATAGCTTCTCTTTGTTTTAATTTACTTTTATTTGATTGCTATTTATGGTTCATTATCTTTTCATCTGCTAAAAGTTTTATTTTTTGTTTTGTTTGTTTACCACTTTTCTATGGAGTATTCAATTTTATTATTGATTCATAAGGGCTTTTTATGCAAAAGGCTGCTTAGCTTTTTATTATGTAGGTTGCAAAACCTATTTCCAAGTTTTTCATTCACCTTTTAAAATTGTGACATTTTGAGATATAGAGGTTTAAACTTACCCTCAGTGCTATGATCATTTCTTGTACAGTTTCTGATGCTTGAACCATGCTTAAAAAGACCTTTACTGAAGGATGATATAAATATTTTCTTAATCTGTCTATTAGTACTTTTATAGTCTCATTTTAACTTTACATTTTTAAATGATCAGGAGTTAATTTTTGTGTAGGGGATTAGGTAGTTTTCCCACGTTAGCCAGGTTATCCTGGCATTAATTATTAAGTCATCCATCCAGAAAGAGGCTGACTGGCTAGCTTGCTTCCTTTTTTCTCAGAAAACATCCCTTCTCTCTCTGTTGCTCCTGTATTTCTAGAGAGAAATAGCTGAGACTGGTGTGTGTGATTGAAAGCAGAGAAGAAACCAGGGAATTTAAATTCTAAATAGGTCTAGAAGTACTGTACAACATCCCAGAATCCACCTCTGATAGTTCTATACAATTTTGTGAGTAGACCAACATGTTTATTCCCACTCAGTTTCTAGGTAGAAGTGAGAATAAGAAGATAACTCTGTCAAGGTTTGGGAGCATAATCCTGGTTTCACTGGATTTATAACTTTGTGCCTATCAGCATTAAAGGGGTAAATGGACTTAGTGAACCTGAAGAATTTATTTCTTCATGATTATATAGTATTTTAAATGATCATATTAAGTCTCAATTTAAAACTATTTTTCTCCTTTTAGGACAGAACCATATATTTTTCCTCCTGTTCCTTCTAAGTACCCAGTCATCCCTTCAAAATCTACTGTGGGCACTCAGACTGACTATAGAGATGCTGATGTTCAAACAGATCCATACTCTCCAGAATATGTAGTATGCCAAGACACGATCCCTGAGCTCTTAACCCTGGCTACTCTGACTTGGGGTAAGTTAGTAATTCTCTTGAATTTTTGAAGATGACAGTACAATCACCATTCATACTATTGAGTTCTTGAAAATTACACACATACAGGCAACTCTGGTTTATAGAGTGAAGAGATAACCCACAGGTTGAGAGAAAATATTTATAAATCATATATTGGATAAAGAGCTAATATTCAAAATATACAAGGAACTCAAACTATTTAATAACTAGAAAATAATAACCCTATTAAAAAGTGGGCAGAGAACTATCTATATATTTCTCAAAAGAAGACATACAAGTGACCAACAGATATGTGAAAAAAATGAAGACGAATTCCAGAATGAAACATGCAGAGGTAAAGCAAGGAAAAAGAGTCATGGGAAATGGCATTATAAGCTTCAGAAAGTGAGAACAGAGGGAATGATAAAGAAGCAATGCAGGAAAAAATAATGGCTCAGGATTTCCCAGAACTGCAGAAAGATATGATCCCTCACAAAGAAAAATTACATTGAGTACTGAGAAGGATAAACATTTAAGAATTCACATCTACTACTTACAGAAGAAAAAAAATACAAAAACTATTAGAGAAAAAAGAGAGATTATCCACAAAGGGATAAAACCAGGTTGATATTTTGTAATATTAATATTCAAGATATAGTAAGCAGATAATTATAGGTCTAGAACTTTTTACCAACCAAAATATTATTAAGAAATGAAGGTGGAGGGGCTGGGGATGTGGCTCAAGCGGTAGCGCTCTCGCCTGACATGCGTGCGGCCCAGGTTCGATACTCAGCAACACATACAAAACAAAGATGTTGTGTCCGCCGAAAAACTAAAAAAATAAATATTTAAAAAATTCTCTCTCTCTTAAAAAAAAAAGAAATGAAGGTGGAATAAAGACTTTTTCATACATAATAAAACTATTTTATAGAGTATTACAAGGATTAAATAAATTCATTTATGGAATATGCTCATGCCTACACCCAGAAATTTCCTAGGTGCTTATCAAAGAAAAGTGAACACATAATTTTAATAGAAATCCATGTGTGTTCACCAAAAGACATGTACCAAAGAGTTCATGGTACACTATTCATAATAACTCCAAAATGAAAACATTCCAAATGTCTGACAACCATAGAATGAATGAATGAATGAATAAAATATAGTACATTCTACACAATGGAATACTATATAGTAATGAGAATAGAAAGTACAATTATATATAACCACCTACGTGAATCTCTTATATATAGTGCTGAACAAAATAAGTAAGATGGAAAAGAGCACCTACATTGTGATTCCATTCACATCAGACTCAAAACCAACCACAACTAAAGTAAGTTGTTAGGCATGAGGATGGCAGTTCTCTTGGGGCAGGTAGATGCTGGGAAGGGGGTCTGATGGGTACTTTATACGGTTTGGGTAATATTGCATTCCTTGATCTGGGTGCTGGTTATATGAGATGCTCATTTTTCACCTTTCTGTACTTGTGATATGCATTAATAAAAAGTTTATAAGAAGATAAATGAAAGAAAACATAGTGAAAAAGGATATCCCTAAGGACAAAAACTGAGTGCTTATTACTATGTACGAAAAACAGTGGCAGGTGCTTTACATTTCTAACTTATTTAATTCTCACGGCTTAAGTAAATAATGAAGTTAAAATCAGAAATTAATAATATAGAGCTTTAAAAAAGGCAAAAGAAATGCTTGTTGGGACCATAAGGGAATTTTTTGATAAAGTCTAATAATATAGCCAAGCCTCTTGTAGGAAGCATCAAGGAAAATACGATGCAAATACAGAGTGTTAGATTTGAAAGGGAGACATTACTACGGGGTAAATGATGTAAGAAATGTAAGATAATAATAGGAATATCTTTTGCTGTGTTTTTAAAAACAGACACAATCATTAAATAAAATATAAATTACTAAGTTGATTTCAAGAATAGATGAGTAACTAAAGAAAATACTTGCTAAGAAGGAAAAAATATATTTTTAAGAGCACCAGGCCCAAAGAGTTTTGTAGGTATTTGCCACTCTTTCAAGGATCACATAAACTCTTGTTTTTGCAGCTTCCTCATCAAAGAGAGAAAGAATAAAAGTTAATTTATTCATTTTATGAAGCTAGTTTAGATTTGATTTGAAAATTGAATAAGGACAGTACTGGAAGGGAAAATTACAGCCAATCTTAGGTATAAAGAAATATGCAGAAAATTCTAGATAACATACCAGCAATCAAATTTTGCTATATTTAGGCAAGGTGTGATGGCACATGCCTGTAATACCAGCAGCTTGTGAGGCAGAGGCAAGAGGAACACAAGTTCAAAGCCAGCCTCAGCAAAAGTGAGGCACTAAGCAACTCAGTGAGACCCTGTCTCTAAAGGAAATACAAAATAGGGCTGGAGATGTGGCTCAGTGGTGAAGTGCCCCTGAATTCAATTCCCTGGTTATACCCACCCCCCAAATTTTTCTGCTATATTTTAAAAGGGTCACTTCATAACCAAGCAAAATTCAAGTTTTTGCAGTTTCAGAAAACCAACCATATTATTTATAATTTTAATAGAAAATATAGGAAAAATGCTTCATTGGATGCAGAAAAAGTATTTGATAACATTCAGTGCTCATTCATGATGCAAACTCAAAATAAACTGGGAGCAGAGGAAATTTAGAAATGTAATAAAGAGCATCTACTGCAGCCTTTAGTAAACAAAATACCAAAGGCAAAACTCTAGAAGCTTTATTCTCAAAGTAAAGAAAGAGGACACTCTATCTCCACCATTACATAGCAATGTGTAGAGAAGATCCTAGCATACAGTTTAGCGAGCTGGGCTATGATCCCTCCCTACCCAGGGACATTTAGAAGTATGGGTGGCATTTTTTTTAATGTAATAATGATTAGGAAGTGCTGCAGGCATTTAACATATGGAATGGGCTGTAGAAGAAATTTAGCACTGACACTAAACATCCTGTACCTCATGGGATTGTCCCATACAAGAAGTCATTGTCTGCCCAGTCTGGCAATAGCACCCTGATTGAGAAGCAGGGAGTCAATGCAATAAGGTAAAAGAAAAAAGAAATCAGTTATGAGGATTTGAAAGAAGCAGCAAAACTATTATTTGCAGACAATGTACTTGTTTGGAAACCCTAGTAAAATCAATGATCAGAACAAGAAGAGAGTTCCATGAGGTAGCTGGTTATGAAATCAACATACAAAGACAAGCAAGCTTCCTGTATGAGAATAATATCTAACTGGCAAAATTATTGGGAAAAAATCACATTCATGAGAGAAACAAATGACAATGTACCTAGGAAATTATTTAATAAATATATTAAAGCATTTACAGAGAAAATTATAAATTGTTTTTTAAGCTCAAAAACAAAGATTTGATTACAACAGAGACACACCATGTTTATGAACAGAAAAACTCATGCTCAAATAGATTTGATTTCTTTCTTGAACAATTTATACCTTCAAGAAATTCTAATTCAAATTCCTATTCCCAATATAACTGTAAATGTAAATTTACATTTTTCTCTTCTCTTTCCCTAAATTATATAAAAGCAACAAGGACAACAAAACTCCCACAAACTCCGCTTTCAGTGAAAGTAAAAATTATATATACTCTATGAACTACTAAATATTTGTAAGGACTGCAAAAAGCAACCGAGATTAGGCAGAAGCAATGTGGGAAGAAGTGAGGAACTTGGAGTCGGGGAATCTCAGAAAGCACGAGCAAAAATATACTTCCTGTGGGTAAATTTGGCAGTATCCAGGATTAAAATGCTCATATTTTATGATTTGACTGCCAGACTCTAGCATTTCCACTTCTAAGAATCCTAGAGAAACTCACACGTGGGCACAAGGAGACCAGTACAGGAGTGCTTTCTGTGGCATTGTGCATAATCAAAAAATTAGAAGCAGGGTTGGGGTTGTAGCTAAGTGGTTAAGTGTTTGCCTAGCATAGGCTTCTATCCTCAGCACCACATAAAAACAAATAAATGAAATAAAGGTTAAGTTCTTAAAAAAATAGAAGCAATCTAAATGTCCATCAGCTTAAATTGTAATGAAGTCCTAGATCTCTGTATCAGTATGGTTAAGCCCCTAAAACAAAGTTGAATTAAAAAAAAAAAAGCATGTTTCAGAATGATACATCATGTAGTACAAGCTGATGTATATAAAAATTAAATTTAAAAGTAATATAAATTTTATTTATACATAGTTCATTTTTGGCTAATATTTGAGCCAAATCTGGTTTCTGGTTCATATTTGTTTTTTGTTGGAGAAAGAGTACCCTGGAGTGCATAAGAACATGAAGCTCACACAAAGCTTAGACTGCCGTCTTCAGATCCTCATTTTTGCTTCTTACCAGCTCTGATCTTGTGCAAGTTACTTCTCCTTTGACCCCTCAGTCTCTTCACTTGTAAGATAGGAGTAATTGTATTTATATGATAGGGATTTATGGAGGATTACATGAATTAAAACAGTGCTTGGTATATTTTAAATGCTTTTATATAGCAAGATATAGATATATAAATCTGAATACAAAATACTAAGATTGACTGGAAGGAGAGTCCCAGATTTCTTTTTGTGTTTACTCTGGGAAAAAGGCATTGGGGCTTGATATGTTGGTAAACTTTATTTTTAATGTCTTTGGCTAAAACAGGTAAAGTATATGAGACAAAATGTGTATGTGGTTGTTAAATCTGAGTATTTAAGGTTTTATTTTCATGCTCTTTATTTTTTAAATTACTAAAGAAAACTCCACACAAAATACACAAATTATATATTATGTGTATTTAAACATATATATGTATAATTTTGCACATGGGTTTACTAGTTTCTTTATACACACCCATAAAACTAAAAATGAATTGATAATATATATACTCATTGTGATTTCTTCTATAAATGAACGGGCAGAAATATAGAACTTTATTATTTTCTATAATATCCTAATTTTAAAACCAAGAGAGAGTAAATTCACATATTACATATATACAAGTATAAATATAACAAAAGATTTGAACAAATAAAGCAGAAATTTTATAATAGTTTATTATATTTAGTAGAAATAGAACTTGTTATTTATTTCTTTATAATTGTTTTTAAATGACAATAAAACAAAGGTTATTGGGGTTCAGTGATCAAATAGGAAACTTGTTCTAGTCTCCATTTTCTTTATCAATTTTTGGTCCCAGAAAGATGATGGAGTAAATCATATTTAGAGGTGCTCTCCACATCTTAGGGCTCGGTTATGAGCAAGAGGCAATGCAGGGTACCAACAGCACAAGCCTAGTGGCACATCTAGAAGGCATTCCTGTGTCATCGGGTCCTGTCATAACCCTTGAATTTAGGGAAGAAGCTAGGAACTGAAAGGGAGTAAATGATACACTGGCAGAGCGTGGGCTTGCCCACTGGTTTCTAAGGTGGGATGTTTCATCCTCCAGGTCGAGGTCTCCCAGCAGGACAGGCTGAGGTGGAGATGATAGAACGAGCCAGGGAGAAGCGTGCTTGGGAAGCCACTCTTCCCCCTCTGGGTGACATCCGCCAGTTTGAGAAGAGGAGGAAGATGATGAATGTGATGGAGAGGAAGGAGTGGGCCTTCAGAGAGCAGGAGATTGAAAAGTATGTTACCTACCATCAGACAGCTACCCTGCACTGATGGAAGTTATGTTTGAACTTCTTTTAATCTGTAAATCGATTTCCCAAATGCTGGCTTCTAGAAGCAATCTCAAACTATGGAGATAAGAAATGGGGTTTCTCATTCTTTCAGGAGCAATCGCTGCCTCCTGATGTGGTGTAGGAGTTCTCTATAAATTTCTCTCCAGTAACATGAAAAGGTCTACCCTCCTGATGTGTGAAGTTCAGCATGGAACTCAGATTTCAGCAACTCCTTCAGAGCATCTCTGATCCTTCTTTCTTTCTTTTATTTACTTATTTTTTTTTTGTATCTATCATCTAGACTGTTACAGAATGCCACTGATTTCTGCAAAGCATCTTTCAAACTATCCCTTTGCGTTCATTCATAGTGCCACTGTCCCTAGGCTTCTGCCCTACTCATATCCACTGACCAGCCTCCCAGGAGTTCTGTCCTATACTCCCCTGACACTGGATTTGCAGTCAGGATGCAAATAGGCTATAGGCATTTCTGATTTGAAAGGAAGAATTGAAATGCTTCTATTAAAAGATGAGCATACATGATGATATGCATAAACAACATTATGCCAAGGCACTTCAGTCATTTTAACTGACATAGTTTTGGTAATGAGGTTATTGCTGACATGTAGAAATGATGAGAAATTATTAGCACCAAACTCCCTAACAAGCAAGAAAGGAAGGGTACTTGCAAGTCAAGGGTGTCCTTCATTGTAAGCCATGCTGAAGCACTTACTGAAGCACTTATTCATAGTGATGCTACCAAGGCCCCTTACATACAAGGGAGTTAGGGACCAGAAAGCTAGGGAATCAGCTTAGTGGTAAACTCAAAATGTTTTTTTTTTTCCTTCTGCAACACCTTCTTAATAACCCTGAATCCAGACTATGTGATGTTTTGGTAAAAGCTTGCAATTTAATAGAAAATAGTATTTGGGGGCAAAGTAGGTATCAAACTACCCAATCTTATCTGCAAAAACTTAAATTTATAGCTCTACTTTGGAAAAGAATGTCTTTTCAGAAGAAATTTAAAATTTATCTGGCCAGAGTAAAGGCATCACTTGAGAGAAGGTAAGTACTTCTGTTATACTGAGGACAGTTTTAATAAACATATTTTGAGTCCCTCCTATGTTCTGGGCACTGTGCTATGAGATGGGGGAACAGAATGACTGGGAAACTGCTGGGCCCAACAGAGCTCCTTATAGTTTCCTGGGGCTGGAGAGGAGGAGTGTGGGCAGAGGATGAGACAAAAGATCTCAGATGGCCGGGCATGGTGGTGCATGCCTGTAATCCCAGCAGCTTGGGACACTTAGGTAGGAGGATCATGAGTTCAAAGCCAGCCTTGGCAATAGCAAGGCACTAAGCAACTCAGTGAGACCCTGTCTCTAAAGAAAATACAAAATAGGGTTGGGGATGTGGCTTAGTGGTCTAGTGTCCCTGAGTTCAATCCCCGGTACCAAAAAAAAAAAAAAAAAGACCTCAGACCAACACCTCTCAGGTATATTCTACCAGTGATGCGCTTCCCTCTATACCTAGTGCTAGGGGAATCCACGTGAGAGAACAGTTCGTTGTGTTTGAGATGGGTGATTTGGATAAGGTAGCTGATGAGCTGGGTGTTGAAGGATGAGTAGGAAACCATCAGGTGGATGGTAATGTCGATGATGATGTTGATGATGATAGTTAGAGAGCAAGTAACACTATATTCTTACAATGGGCCAGGCAGTGTTCTATGTCAGTGGTTCTCAAAGTGTGTTTTATAGATCAGAAACATCAGCATTACTTGGAAGTTTGTTAGAAATGCAGATCCTCAGGCCCCATCCCAGACCTACTGGATCAGAGGTGGGGCCAGCAATGTGAGTCCTACCAAGCCCTCCAAATTATTCTGGAGAACAATTAGGTTTGAGGACTACTCTTCTAGCACTTTGTAAACATTGACTCATTTAAAGCTCACAACAACCTTATGAGCTGGATACTATTATCTCCCTTTTGCACTTGAAGAAACTAGGTAAAGTGGTGAGGTTGAAAAGTGGACCTAGTAGCCATGGAGTGCTTCAGTGTGGGAGGTATTCTGAGAAATGTGTGCTTAGGTGACTTCATCCTTGTGTGAACATCACAGACAGTGTTTAGACAAAGCAGATGGCAGGCTCATCACAGTGTGGCTCTTTGATGAAATCAAGAGAGGTGCTAAATGGGAGATGTGTGGGGATGCTTCCTGCATAGCACAGCATACGGTCTTACAGTAAACTGAGTTTTTAGAAGGAGTACACCTTAAACTAATGATAAAAATATAGTAAGCACATGAATCAGTAACATCGTTGTTTACTGATATTATCAAGTCCTATGCATAATTGTATGTGCTGTGCTTCTATATGGCCGATGCACTGTAGGGTTGTTTACACCAGCATCATTTAATATGTCGTGCTGTGATGTCGCGATGTCTGTGGCATCACTGGGTGATAGGCGCTTTTCAGCTCATTATGGTCCCATGGGAGCACCACAGTAAATGGGTTCATCCTTGACGTAAGAGTCGTTATGCAGAACATGACTGTATTTCTCACTCTAGAGAGAAAGGTGGCAGCTGGCGTGTGTCTTATTTTTAAAAGTGTCTGTCTCTCCATACTCATTTGTCATTCCTGCCTCACCCTCCCACATGCACTCACTCTAAGAAGCTCTGCTGGTTGACATGTTTGTGCTCTCTGGGCCTTTTGGCTGAGCCCTAGCTTCTCCCTTGTCTACGTGGCAGACCCCAAACCTCATTTATCCCCCGTGCTCTGCTGCTGACTTGATACTTCCACAAGGAAGCCTTCCCATCACCCCTTTCTCGCCCTTGTTTGTCTTTCTTCTCCCCCAGAGGTCTTTTTATTCTTCTAGCCTGGAATTTATCTCCTTGTTGTACATGTTGGTTTCTAGGCCTCTTCTGGAACACAGTGCTTCTTGAACAGAATCTTGTCTTGCACGTCATTGTCTCTGGCCTCCTGTATGATGGGCACTTGTTAAATATTTGACAAATGAGTGAAAGAATAATTTAATGCATGAGTTTTTAAGTAGGAGTAAAATGTGCTTTCAGAGCTCTGTTTTAGGAAAGTGAACCTTGACATCTATGTGGGACAAAGTTTGGAAGGAGGAGAGACTAGCTGCAAGAAGTCCCAGTTAGGAGAGAGAATACGAACACGAACAAGGGAATGGATGCAAAAATGGTTGGAGGAGGGATCATTGGCAGAGGGAAGAAGATGTGAGGAAAGGGGTAGATTTCTGGGGGAACAGAATGAGTACCTTTTTTTTTTAAGATAGTCAAGGGACAGCAGGAATTTAAGCAAAGTCTGGTTCAGAAATATCTGAGGAGTCATCTGTACAGAGTTGGACACTCTAGGAGAACACTTACATGCAAAGGGAGGGGAGCAGACTTATTGAGTACCTACTATGTACTGGACACTGGCATTTTCAGATTCGCACCTCATTTTCTCTCCACTCCCCCATTACTTAATCCTCCAGCAATACCACTCAATCTGGAACTGTCCAGACCTCTTGTTCCTGTAGGTCCATCTGCCCGGAGACCCCACCTACCATACTGTTCTTCATCCTTCATAACCATCCCCACACATTGTGATTAGATTCACTCTTAAGTTCCTCCCCTTTTCCCTCAAGTCATTCATCACACTTTTCTAGAGTGATCTTTTAGAAAAGTCTATGAAGACGATGCCCATGGACAAGATCCCATTTGTGGCAACTGTTCATGTGCTCTCTAGTAGAAACACATATTTGGAATACCATGAACTTATTAATGCTCTGTAATTTATTTGAAGACTGCAGGACTTTCGCCTGGAAGTTTTAAAAGAGCTGCTGAGGAGGCGTGAAGAGCGTCAAAATGAACTGGACATGAAGCACTTGAATGCCCAGTGGAGTAAACTGCAGGAAGCAAAAGAAGCCAAACTGGCGCAAATCCATCGCACACATATATCAAGTAATGGTGTAGTATGAGGACGGGAGAAAATGGAAAGGGGGCTTTGCTCTCTAATTTAGCTATGATAAAGTTCTGTTTGCATCCTAGTGTTATCAGATAGGTAAGGGATGAGAGATGAGTTATTTTTCAAAGGTAGAAGGGTGTCCCTCTCTACATCAAGTGACCACATTCTTATAGATAGTTAAGTTGTTGATGTTATGGAGGGGGTGAGTGTTGGTTCCTCATATTGATGTCCAAGGCCCTGGATCGAGAATCCTATTGCTCCACTTTTTTTTGTCATTATTGTCCCCTAAAAATGAACTTTAAGATACATTTTTTCCCTAATCACACCTCTCCAAGAAATTTTAATACCACTGACATCTTGAATATATGTTTATGTTCTACAAATGTATTTGTACTTCATGTACAAAAATAGGAAATGTACACCTTACTCTTTATTCAATGCAGAATTAAGAATTACTTGGGCTGGGGCCATGGCTCAGTGCCTAGCATGCATGAGGCACTGGGTTCTATCCTCAGCACCACATAATAATAAAATAAAGATATTGTGCCCACCTATAACTAAAAACTAAATATTTTAAAAAAAGAATAAAAAATTCAAGTGAAAATTTTTAAATTATTAACATTTAATGGTAAAGCTTTACTTACTGAAAAACAATGTCATTTATTAAAAATTCTATCACCTCCATATGCAAATTAGCAACTGATATATATACAAGTAACAATCACATTTTAGAAAATAATTCAAAACTACTAGTTTTCTAACAAAAGTTAAACAATTACAAAAATTAAATTACTGCTTAAAATTATTTTGGTGAATTTAAATTCCTTTTTTTTTTTTTTTGTAGTGCTGGGGATTGAACAAGCAAGCACTCGACCAACTGAGCTATATTCCCCAGCCCTTCCCTAATTCCTTTTTTTTTTTTTAAGAGAGAGTGAGAGAGAGAATTTTTTAATATTTATTTTTTAGTTCTCGGTGGACACAACATCTTTGTTTGTATGTGGTGCTGAGGATCGAACCCGGGCCACACGCATGCCAGATGAGCTCGCTACTGGTTGTGCCGCATCCCCAGCCCCCCTAATTCCTTCTTGGATGTGAAAAAGTAACTTTTAAGTTACAACTAGATATTCATTTAGTTATTGTTAACCTTTTGTTCTTTTCGGTACTTGAATAACTAGTGAAGTATTTGACTCATTTTGTAGATAAGTAATAAAATATAAACTATTTTTACTTAATTCTAAAACTCGAAGTCCCACACAAAAGCACTAATGATTAAACAGACAATAAATATGCTCAAGGCAGAGACATCATATGATTTACACCTTGGGGGTGCACCTGGAGCCATTTAAAGGGAGTGGATCTGTGAAGAAAGGAAAAGAGCAGGTGGAAGACAGTGAGCATGACCCCTGAGCTGAGAATTCTCCTAATGGGCACCGGTGAAACTTTCCCCTTTGACTGCCAAACAAGTCTGAAAGCTATTAACAGAGTCATCTTCTGGTTATTCTGATGTTAGCTAAGATGAACCTGTAGTCCTCTCTTTTAGTTGTCTTGTAGGGGAGAGTAAGTCTCTAGCACTCACTGAACCTCTTTTTCCATTTACTTTGGATTTCCCTCATTTAACAAACTTTTGTGGAAAACGTCTTGGCCCAAATCTTTTAAAAGCTTGCAGTTATAAAAGATTTTTGATTAGTACGAGTTGACAACTAGCTGATTCGGCTCCTGTCACTCCTGCCTATCTCATGGCAGACCTGTCTTTAGTGTCACATTCTGGCTCTAGTGAATCATCCTGAAATTCATTCAGTTCAGTAGCTTTCCAATGAATAAAACTAGAATAGTTTACTATTTTTCATTTTTAATTCAGAACAATATTTTGGAGAGAGTCATGTAGGTATGTTTTATTTCAGCAATCAGAAAGCTTGAAGGAAAGGGAAAGAATATAGAAGGGAAACTGAAAAAAAGAGATATCATCAAGGATTATTCTGATTATGCATCACAGGTCTATGGACCTCTATCTCGCCTTGGCCGTTTCCCAGACAACAACTCAGAGGACTTTGTAGTAAAAAACTACTATCTCAACACCTATGAAGGTAAATAATTTGCATAATTATAAGTCTATTATAAGAGGGTTATCTTGGACATGTGGATTAAATATATAAATTTAGACTAAAAGCTAAACAATAAAAAATATTTGTAGGAAACAGCAATGAACAGATTTAATGTGATTATTAATATAAATTCATACAAACCAATATAAACTCTTAAGACAAATGAATATATGGACACACTATAGAACATTTTAACAAGGTAAATTCAACTAGCTACTAAATGTTTGAAAATGTTTAATATCGTTAATAATCAAAGTTATGCAAAAATTAACTAGAAAAAAAACTTTTATAGCAGGTTTATGAAACAAACAAGACTTTAATAATGAATCAACCTGTAAGAAAGAAATGTCAGAAAACTAGAGGGCAAAGGGATGGGTGGTCAGGTGGTAAATTCACAGAGAGGATGGTTTCTTTTCTGAAGTTTAAGAGGCTTATTTAAATTGTTTAAATTTGAGTTGACAAGTTGAAGCATCGTGTGGCCAAGATCATGAGTTGATCATCACACTGTTGAACTTTAGCTCTGACTGGCCATTTCCAGAGGAGAATATGACAATGTGAGAGAGATGAACATTCTCTTTAGAGTGGTGGCAACATGTATTTTAGCATTTTTGATTTTCTGTTGATAGTAATGGAATTTATTGTTCCTTTGTAGGGTAACATTGTTATTTTAGAATACATTTCTTATTTTATAGTTCAAGACACTGAGAACATGCGTTAATTACACAGAATCGTGCTTACCATTTCAAGGGCAGTTCATTCTATTATACGAGTACAGCTCATCAACACCTCCAACAAAATCCGTTTTAATTTTACTAAAATTAAAAATATTCATTTGAAATGGTAAATTTAAGCACTAGATACTAAAAACGTGTACTTCCTTCCCATAGGATTAATTGAACTTGAATCAAGTCTTCCAGATTTTGTGACACAACCGAGAATCAGAACTCCAAAACCAAAAGTCGGTACCACTAAATCTGGTTTTCTGAAGAGGGCAGCAAGACTGGACTATGAGTTGGCAGAGGTTCATAAGGTATCATTGTGATCTGGAAGACAAGAGGCTTCTAGTGAGAATTCTGCAGAAAAATGCTTTAGCCTAATTTGTACTTTGTTTGGGGCGGTGTTGAGCAGGGGGTCTAATGTAGGACCTCATGTTCTTTTCTCCTCGCTAGACTTTTCTCTTCTGGGGGTTTCTCCTGATGTGCCAAACCCATGTGCTTTCCTCCCCTCACTTCAAAATGAAGGAAAACTTAGAAGTTATTCTCCCCATTTAGAGAACTCACGTTCCTTTCTGAAAAATTTCAAATTTGGATCTATAAAACAAAATTTGACACTTTACTGAGGAATAGCAAATTTCTAGGATTAGTAATAACTCTTGGTGTTAATAGTTGCAAAAGGCTCCATTTTCTCCACTTTATAATTGTTACCAGGGCATCATGAATATAAGGAGGCATCATGAATAAAAGCAGGCATATTCAACAACTTTCTCATTTAGATGAGAGAGTTTGATGGCCATCAAACTTTAGTATGCATCAGAACCATGTGGGAGGCTTGTTGAAACATGTTGCTGCCCCCCACCCCCCATTTCTGCTAGGTAGGTTGGGGTGAGGCTCCTGGAGTGCTGGCATTTTTTTAAAAAACAAGTTTCCAGTTGATGCTGATGCTCCAGGCCCAGGAAACACACTTTGGGACCCATTGGTTTATGATGTGCACCCATCACTAGTCCATGCATGTCTGTTCCATTGATTTCAGTAATAAGAGTCCATGGGAACCCAGGCTCAACATACAAATAGGACCTTGACAATGATGTATGTATCTATGAGGTTCTTTCTCATCTATTTCCCCTGTCTACTTTTACCTATGTAGAATATTGCGTTCACCATATGCTCACTTTATATAAGAATGTGTTTTCTTTTATTAGAGCTTAATCATTATACATAGTAGTTGGGTTCATCCTGTCAAACTCATGCGTGCACGGAAATTGATTTCAGCTCATTATCCCCTCTTTTCTTTCCCCCTTTTCCCTCCCGTCCTTTCCCCTCTCCCAGTCTCCTTTCTCTACTATACCAGACTTCCTTTTGTTCATCTATTTATTTGATTGATTCTTTGTGTTATCCTACCCTTCCCTTGTTCTTCCCTTTATTTTACTCTAGCTTCTGCGTTTGAGAGAAAGTATTCAACTTTTGAGTTTCTGAGTCTGGCTAATTTTTCCTAGTACAATATTCTCCATTTCCATCTACTTACCTGCAAATGCCATAATTTTATTCTTTTATTATGACTGAGTAGAACTCCGTTGTATACATATATATATGCACACACACACACACACATATATATATATATATATATATATATATCACAGTTTCTTAATTCATCCATCTATCTATTAATGTGCATCTGGGTTGATTCTATAACTTAGCTATTGTGAATTGTGCTACTATAAATATTGATGTGACTATTTTGCTATATACGCTGATTTTACATCTTTTGGGAAAATAACAAGGAGTGAGACAGCTGGGTCATATGGTGGTTCCATCCCTAGTTTTTTGAGGACTCTCCATACTGATTTCCAGAGTGGTTTTACTAGTCTGCAGTCCCACCAACAACGTACAAGTGTACCATTTCCCCCCACAACCTCACCAGCATTTATTACTGTTTGTTTTCTTGATCATTTTCATTCTGACTAGAATGAGATGAAATTTTAGTTTAGGTTTGATTTGCATTTCCTTGATTGCTAGAGATGTTGGAACATTTTTTCACTTATTTGTTAGCTGTATGTGTAGGTCTCTTCTTTTGAGAAGTTTCTGTTTCATTCTTTTGTTCATTTATTGATTGGGTTATTTGGTTTTTTGGTGTTAGGTTTTTTGAGTTTTTTGTGGGTTCTGGATATTAATACCCTATTGGAGGAGTAGCTGGCCAACATTTTCTCCCATACCGTAGGCTCTTTCTTTTTGCTCTTAGTCATTTCCTTTGCTGAACAGAAGCTTTTTAGTTTGATGGCATCCCACTTATTGATTATTGGTTTTATTTCTTGTGCTTTGGGGGTCTGTTGAAGGATGGTTGGTTCCATAGTTTAGCTATTGTGAGTTCAGCTGCTATAAACACTGATGTGGCTGTGTCACTGTAGTATGCCTCAGTTTAGGTATAAACTGAGGAGTGGGATAGCTGGATCAAATAGTGGTTCCATTCCAAGTTTTCTGAGGAATCTCCATATCACATAATGGTTGCTCCCATTTGCAGTCACACCAGCAATGTATGAGTGTACCTTTTCCCCCATATCCTCATCAAGATTTATTGTTGCTTGTATCCTTGATAATTGCCATCTGACTGGAGTGGGATAAAATCTTAAAGTAGTTTTGATATGCATTTCTCTAATTGCTAGAGATGTTGAAAATTTTTTCATATATTTTTTGATTGATTGTATTCCTTCTTCTGTGAAGTGTCTGTTCTGTCCTTAGCCATTTTGTTGATTGAATTATTTGTTCTTTTGGTGTTGAGTTTTTTGAGTTCTTTATATATCCTGGATATTAGCGCTGTATCTGAGGTGTGTGTGGTAAAATTTTTCCCCAATTCTATAGTCTCTCTCTTCGCATTATTGATTGTTTCCTTTGCTGAGAAGAGTAAGAATGTTTTTGTGGATGATTTTTGTGAGGTCTTGGAAGCCCCCATTTGTTCTTAATTTACTAAAGGTCTTACTGTGTCTTTGTTGAATTTTTTTCAGGCACTTATCAAATTTATATAGGTATTTTAAGCTGAACACTTCATTTAAAACACTGATTTCTGCTGCATTCCACTAGTTTTGATATGTAGTATTTGTCATTATTCTTATTCTAATATCTAAAAATGTTCAATATTGTTTTTGAACCTGTGAGTATTTAACAGTGTTTTAAAATGTCCAAATATGTAGGAATTTAAACTCATTTTTTTCAATTAACTTACTCAATTGCACTGTGATTAGAGCTAATAGTCTATGTGATACCTTTTCTTTGAAATTTAGTGAGGGTTGCTTTGTGGACTAGTACATGATTATACATATAACATAATCAAAGTCCACCTGTAGATCCTACTATACCCCTCATGTGTGGGGCAGGTACCTTATAGCAGATAATTCCCATTTCCTGTCTCTCATCCCTGTGGCATTGCTTTGATTCAAAAGCTGTAATCACCCAATACATTTTTATTCTTATTGCTTTAACAGATTGTTATCTTTTAATGCAATTAAAAATTAGAAAAATAAGAAAAGATTTTGTTCTACTTCATTTGTTCTTTCGTTGCCATTCTTCGGTTGTTCATGTATCTACACAGACTTCTAAGTCTCCGACCTGAACAACTGGTTTCATTGTCTCACATGGTGCTCTGGCAAGCAGCTTCAGTGTTTGTCTGTCTCAAGAGTCTTCCTCCTTTACTGTTGTAGAGGGAGGGAGTGTAATAAACATACAACAGAAATCTGCCCATTTAAAATGTTCAATTCAGTGTTTTTAGCATGTTAACAAAGTTGCGCCACCACCAACACATTTAATTCCGGAATATTTTCATCGTCCCCTAAACAAATGCCAGACCCACTAGCAGTCACTTCCAATCCCCTCTTCCTCATTCCCTCACAACCACTGTTCTGCTTTTTCATTATGGATTTGCTTATGCTGAGCATATTGTGTAAATTGAATCGTGCATTAAATGGCATTTTTAAATTTGGCTTCTTTCACTTAGCATAGCATTTTAAGGTCAGTCCACATTCCCATACATCTCAGTACTCCATTCTTTTTATGACTGCATAATATTCCATTGCATAGATATACCACATTTTATTTATCCACTCATCAGCTGATGAATATTTGAATCATATCTAGTATTGGCTATTACAAGTAGTGTTACTGTGTACTTTTATGTTCAAGTTTCTGTGTGGACATGTTTTTAGTTCTCTTGGGCATATCTCTAGGAGTGGGATTGTTGGGTCCTACAGTAACTTATGTTTTACTTTTGAGAAACTGCTAGATTGTTTCCAAAGTGACTGGACTGTCTTATATTCACATCAACAATGTATGAGGGTTTCAGTTTCTCCATCATTTATTATTGCCTATCTTTTTTATTATAGTTGTTATTCCAGTATGTGTGATATGATATCTCATTGTGGTTTTGATTCACATTTCTCTAATAATTAATAATATCAAGCATCTTTTAAGTACCTGTTACTCATTTATATCTCTTTTTTGAAGATATGTCTATTTAGATCCTTCACCCATTTAAGAATTTTTTTTTTTTTAAATTGTTGAGTTATAAGAGTTCATTGTATATTCTGGAGACTAGACCTTTATTAGATATGTGATTCACAAAGTTTTCTCCCATTCTGTGTGTTGTCTTTTTCATCTTCTTAATAATATCCTTTGAAATACAGAGTTTTGATATATATTTAGTTTCAAAGAGTGATTTTGCTGAGAATAGAATTCTAATTTGTTTTCTTTCCTCTTCCAACTCTTCAAAGATTTTACTCCACTTTCCTCTTGCTTGCATTGTTTCTGACTAGAAATCTGCTATAATTCTTATCTTTGTTTCTCCATGGATAAGAGTATTTTAAAAAAATACTTTATGAGCTAAGTCCTGAAATCATGGAGGAGAAATATTCAGAAAAGTGTAAAAGCATTGCCAAGTGCAGTATTTTCAGGCCATTTTGGTAGAAATTTAAGCTGGAATATATTTCTGAAGCTTTGTGAAAATAAGTTCTTTAAATTTGCCTTTTGAGCATATTAAAGTGTATTGTTTGATAAGAAGTTTTCTTTAATATTCTCATGTTCATTCATACTCATTCCCTCAGCTCCACTTTTGTAGGCAATTACGAGTCTGAGATTAAAGAAAATTGCATTTTTGTTTATTATTTTAATTGGATTTCCTGACCAAATATTTTTCTTTTAATTGTAACAGTTTTGAGAATTTTTTCTTTTTTTTTTAAAAAAAAAACTTTGGATATTTTTCATTTTTTCTTGTATTTAAAATTAATTTGTTGACTAAGCAACATATTACATAGTTCAAAATTCATGAGTTCTTTAAGAATATTAACCTAAATGTTTTTCTTACATACTTGTCTCTCAGTCATGTAGTTCTGTCTCTGGATGAAACTCATGTTATTAGATTCATGCATGTATTTTCAGAGAGATTTGATACAAGCAAATATCTGTATATGTTTATATATATGTGAGTGTATTTAAACATATACCTGCACAGAAGCATACATGTTCATGTACATTAGTACATTTTTAAATATGTTCTAGCAAATATGCCTAAACACATATAAGTCTCTTTTAGAATTCTTTATAATTCACATGTAAATAGATAAAGTGTGCTGTTCTATCCTTGCATTTTTACTTAATATATCTCAGAAATCAATTTATGTCAATATTACCAGAAAATCTTTCTTATAATTTTTCACACTTTCATGATATGGTATAAATGTACAAAAATGCATTTTTGATAGATATTTAGATTGTAACTAATGCTGCAAACCAAGTATGGTGCCTCACAACTGTAATCCCATCTACCTGGGAGGCTGAGGCAGGAGGTTCAAGGTCCACCTGGGCAACTTAGCCAGACCTTGTCTTAAGATAAAAAGTAAAAAGAGGGGGTGCCCTCAGTGGTAGAGTGCACCTGGGTTCAACCCCAAGTACTGAAAACAAAAACCCAGACAACAACACTACACTGCAGTGAGTGACATTTTTTGCATATAATTTGGCACATGTGTGAACATATCTAGAAGATAAATTCCTTGACTTGGAACTTCTGGACCACAAATGTACGTGTACTTATAATTTTGTGGATATTGCCAAATGCTCTTATGTAAATGATTTATCAATGTTAGCTATATTCAAAAGCGCCATTTTCCCACATCCTTATCTACATAATTAGTTATGGATGATTGGTTTTGAAATAGTTTCATGTGGTATTGTTCAGGACTTTTCCCTCAAGACTTCATAAATTATTAATTGCTTTTAGACTGCTGCTGATTTCTGTGGAGTCCCCATTTGTGGTTATTGATATATATTTGCTGTCAGTTTTATTTTGGGCAAACTCAGAGGCTCCATTACAACCACAGTTAGATGGTTTTAAATTTTATCCATAATTTGCATTTTTTTAACCAGTTTCAGGTATGTGTGTGTGTGGGGGTGTGTGTGGTGTGTGTGTGTTTTAAAACAGTGTTTATCTATGTTTTTAAGAAAAATATAATTTAAAGTTTATTATATGATGAGAAATTAACTGAAGTATGATTTTAAAATAACAAGCAGATTTTTTCCTTCTTTTAACTTAAAAATATTCCCCTCTGGTCAAAACAGAACCAATGAGCAAGATCTTACATTATGTGTTATTTGAGGACTTTTAGTGATCAAAAATTTTAAAAAGATATGTCAAAATACAAACACACATACACTCTCTCACTAGGAAACAAGCTAATTTTTTAAGAATCTGAATGTTCAAGTTTCAAGGCCAAAGAAAAGATCTCTTCTCCACTTTGAGATAATTGCCATCAAATGTGCTTCAGTTTCCCTAGTAACAATAAGACATACCAAATATTTAAATCATTTGCTGCATAGCAAAATTTCCTAATGCTCAGACATTCATGTGATACAGCAAATTAGCTCATGTGGAAAAACAGGAGTTGGAGTTTTGCTTGTGTGCACATAAGACAGAACCTTTTAAAAACTCATAATAGGTTGGGATTGTAGCTCAGTGGTAGAGCACTTGTCTAGCATGTGCACGGCCCTGGGTTTGATACCCAGTACCACACACACACACACCAAAAAAAATTCTTTAAACCTCCCAAATATTTTATTAAAATAGATACACTAAGAATATGTGCCATATTTATTCAGTGGTTACCCATTCCTTAGGAGTATCACAGCACCCCATGGGAAATGCATACACCCCAGTTTGTACTTTCCAAGCTGACCCAGCATAGCCATAGAAATATTGTTTCTGATTGATATTCAGATCTGCAGCCTCGATCTGTTAGTGGAGGAAAATACAAAGAAAAGGGATGACATTAGTTGGCATTATTTCAGGCACTGTTGGAAAAGAAGAGCAAAGGTCTGGAACCAAAGAAACCTCTGCGCCTCCTTCAAAGAAACCCCATACCTGAGCCTCGGCTTCCAACTCCAACCTTGGAAATGAGTTCCAATGTAAGTTTGAAACTTTTATTTGAAATGCAGAATTCAGTATTGTAATCAGTTCATTTCAGGATAGTTTGGGTTGGAAACAAATCTAATTTAACAGTGTTAGTTTCTCAAGCTCTGATTTTTTAAATTGATATTACATATTTATTAAGGCAAGGAACTATACAGAAAAAAACACATTTGTTCTGTCAGTCTCTGATTTAAAGTTGATTTTATTTTTTAAAATTTATTTCATTTATTTATCTTTATTTATTTTACTCTTATATACTAAGCATCAGCTACACATAAAACTAAGCATAGTGAATGAAGTGAAATAAACCCAGTCTTTTTCAAGAATAAAATCAGAAAGAATGAAAGCTCTTCTGATGAAAATAGGAATCAGAAGGTAATCTTTCACATGCCAAGTTGAAAAAGAAGATTGAGAGATGATCAGTTACCCTACTGTCTCTCTTCCCACGTGAGTGGCCGAGGACTGTGGGAGTCAAGGAGGAAGGAAATGCTACAGATATCCTAGGGACAGACGGGCTTCTGGACGAGTCTCCCTAACCAGGACTACTTCTCATTAAACTCAACTTGGGCAAGATACCACAGTTGGTTAAAAAAAACTTCTAGAGATGCCACAGTGCAAAGTTATTTATTGAGAGAAACAGAACTGCCAGGTAGATTGGGCTCTCTCTCTGCCTGGCCAGCACAGAATCTCTGCGTGGAGGGCAAGTCCCCACAAAATGTCCACCTGTTCAGAAGGTGTGCTACATCAGGGTAGGGTTGACAAGAGATCTCATGAATGCCTGTCACCACCTGTGATGACCTGTGTGGCCTCCATGGAGGGACTGAAACACTCCCACTGACTGGCCCCTTTCTGGACGTCATGCAGGCCTTTGGTTGCACATCTTTGGGCTCTAGGTGTTTGTGCTCCCATCAGGCTGTTACTTTCTTTGACACTGAAAGGCACCTTGGTTAGATTTCCAGATCCTGATCTTTCTGCTTTTTGCACAGAATTATTTAAGGTGATTTTTGTAGATTAACTTATGCAGTATATTCTGAAATTTACCAGTTTAGCTAAATTCCTGTGAGAAGTACCTCCCTGCAACATGGACAACAGAGTTGTATTCTTTACTAGCTCATGATCAAACATGAAAATACTATGCTGAAAGGTTAATTCAAGCAATACTTGTTGCTTCAAGAAAGTTTTTTTTTTTTTTTTTCTTTTGGAAATGGCATCATTTGAAGGGACAGCATGGTAGTCTTATCATTTTGGGGCTTTAATATGATCTGGTAATGATGTTTATGATGAAAAAAGAATAATGTTAATGATACATTAAGTAACATTGTTTAAAGTACTACATATTCAATGAGGGCAGAGACTGTGCTTTATTTCTCTTTAAATCCTTCTGGCATCTAGCGTCATTTCTTGCTTGAAATCAATCTTCAAAAAATATTTGATGCTTGGACTGCTGCTCTTCTCAAGCTGCTTGGTTCTTCTCCCTTTGTTCTTTCAGGAAGAAGAAGACATAGAAATGGCTGTGATCTACCTTCAAAGCTTACTCCGGGGTAGAGTCGTTCAGAACATGGTGTGTAGGTCCAACTACAGGCCCTGTGTTTCTCCTTTGAGAATGAGACTTTTAGAATGCATATGTGCTTGGTTTGTTGGAGTGAATTCCCTCTTGCATCCTGCTACCCTGTTCAGCTGTCTTTTAATTCACCTACCCATCTCCTTCTAGTGCTGTTGTTTGTCCAGGTGGGTGACACAGTGTTAAGGAGTGGAAGGACATGACTACTTCTTGCCACAGTTGTAAATAAGGCAGTGTGAAACTTATTTCATCCCTCGAATTACTTATTCAATGAAATTTCTCACCTGAATTTTGACTGTTAAAGTATTACAAATTAAATGGCTTCCCTAATTTTCCACTGACTCATAACAGTTATTTGAATTTGCGTAGTTAACAATACCTGCATTATAAATGACATAGCTCATAGTGATAACTCCCCTTTTAAACTTGTTTCAGTCATTTTTTTATTGCTCTGACCAAAAGACCAATCAAGAACTACATAGAGGAGGAAAGGTTTATTTGGGGCTCATGGGTTTATAGGTCTCAGTCCATAGACAGCCGACTCTGTTGCTTTGGGCCCCAGGTAAGGCAGACCATCATGGCAGAAAACTGTGGAGGAAGAAAGCAGCTCAGAACATGGAACCAGGCAGCAGAGAGAGACAGAGACAGAGAGACGGGGAGGAACAGAGACAGAGATGAGACAGAAAGAGATAAAGAGAATGAGCTCCCCTCATCATGGACAAAATATAAACCCCAAAGGCCCGCCCTCAATGACCCACCTCCTCCAGCCACAACCTACCTGCCTACAGTTACCTCCCAGTTAATCCCCATCAGGACATTGATGCACTGATTAGGTTAAGGCTTTCATAACTCAATCATTTCATTCTAAACTTTCTTGCATTGTCTCACACATGAGCTTTTGGGGTCACCTAGTATCTAAACTATAACAGAACCCCTATTATATTCTGACATTGTATATTTTTTGTTCTGTTTTTGTTTGTTTGTTTTTCTATTAGGAATCTCATTTTACAGTCAAGTAATCTGAGTTTGAGATCGGGTTAGTTCCCTACCAGCCAGTTCACAACTCTGGTCTTCCTGACTGTAAAGGCTTAGCTAGATTATTGTGCAGCTGGAGCAGGCACACTTTACCTTAAAAAAAAAAAAATAGGCTGATTTAAAGCTCCAGATAATTTTACCCCTAAAGAACTTTGATCCATGGAGTAACTTCAGGGAAGCTGGATGAGGGAGTGGTCTTGCATTCCATCGTATTCTTTACTCTCCCTTCAGTACTTCCCAGGAGGAGTGCTCCAGGTAAATTCACACTGCAGCCTGTCTTACAAATCAAGGGCACATTTTTGGAAATGAAAACATGACCATGAAAAATGCTGCCCCCAGGTTTCTTAGGGAAGGAGCACCTGAAGTTGAGGGGAAGGCTCTAGTTTCTTACTGTGACCCTATATTTGTCACCTTGTCTTGCTTGCCTTTCTCTGTTTGAGCCCCTGAAGCATTGAAAAGGGAACCAAATTCTAGCTCTGTGGATCCCATCAGCCCAAAAGCCAGGAAAGAACTCTCTGCTCACAAGTTCCTCACATTTGTGAAGCTCCTAGTGCTGGGAAAAAAGGGATGGTAATCTGCCAGCTTGTCTTTGATTTGATTTGCCACAGATGTTTGAAGGAAAAGAAAAGCGACTGGAGTTGATCCAGGAGCTGCGCACCAGCCACGCACTCCAAGAGGATGAAAAACTGGTAAAGAAAGCCGAGAAGCAAGTGACCCTGGCCTTACAACGGCAGAGAAACTTGCACGAGCACAAGGTTCTTCCTTTTCTTTCTTGTTTTTATTATTGCACAAGTGATATTTTAATAATAATAAATGAAATGTTACAGAATATCCCCTAGCACTCTCTCAGCATTTTAAACAATGTTGTTGTCGTTGATAATTTGGGATTATGTTCTCACTGAATTGAATATGGTATTTTTATCTTTATTTGCAAAAAAAGAAAGAAAGAAAGAAAGGGAGAAGGGGGGAGCGGGGGTAAGGAGAGAGAAGATAAATTCCTAAAACAAAGACAAATGCACTTTTTTCAACTTAAAGATTTTTTTCTTTCCTAAATATTGGTAACTACTGTATTTCAGTTGGTGAGGACCAAACAGAATAAATAATAAAAACAACATGAAAAAAGTGAGAAATGGGATTTTAAAATATCAGCACTTATTTTTGCATTTTGTAGCCATATACAGCACATGCTGGTTAAATATGTAACTACCTACTATGGTATTTGGTGACTTTCATCTGACCTGTCTCTGACACCTGACACAGCTAAGAACTGCAGCTCTAAACCAACAACTGTCAATTTTTTTTCTGTTCTCTTCAGTGTTTGTCTATATACACATTTTTAAATGTCATTGACTTTAATATAGATGCACTTAATTCCCTTTCCCACTTACCTCTGAATCAATCTGAGAATCAATTTGCAAAGTTTAGTGTGGTAAGACTAAAGTTTGTTGAAAGCCAAGTTAACTTGACCCACCCTAGTAATGTACATAACTCTTGTGCTGTGTGGGAATTGAGCACAAATGGCAAACAGTTTGGAAGTGACCACAACTCTACTTCTTTTACATGACATTGGTGCCATAAATGGTTACTGAGCTTGGGAGAGCAGGATTGGGAGGGGATTGGGAGGGAGGAAGTAAGAAAGTCACAAGCTGTGAGACCTCACAAAGGGACCAGAGAAAGACAAGGAGAATGTGAACACTGGAGCATCTGAATCGGGAGATCCTTGAGTCCTAGAAATATCCAGACATGAGTGCACCAAATCCTGAGACTCTGGGTGGGAAAATGGCCTCTTGGCCCTTCATGGTTTTTGATAATGGTGGACTTCTGCAGAGGCAGCTAAGCCAATGGGCTTGTCAATTAATTTTCCCCATTTGGTGGATATATACATGGCTGATGAAGTCAGCTGAGAGTGAAGGGAGGCATTCATGGGGAAAGCTGTCACTTAGCCAAGGGCCACTTACAGTCAGCTATACTAGGGAGATATATACCACTGATCTGCAGGGGCCCAAGGGAAGAGCACCTCACATATACCCTTTCCTCCTTCTCTTTCTGGAAAGCTGTCCAGAAAATACACAATTCCCAGTTGTGTGATACATTACATGCTATAACCACAGCAGAATCACTTTCTTAAATACTTTGTACTTAATTTCATATTAGATTGTCCTACCTGAGCATACTCAAATTTCTTGCTGAAGAAGGAGGCCAGACACGAACAGATAGCCATCTTAGGACCTTAATGATTGCATCTGCCTCCAGATGAGAGAGCTTATGTTTCTTGGAGACACAGAATTTATTTGTGACCTCTGGGATGAATGTTCAGTGGTTATGAATGAAGTAGTGAAATGTTCTAGTTATGCCTTTTCTTTCCTTCACTCCCTCATGTAGCTCAAATTTCAACTAAGTGAAGTTGAACTTTGAGGTACACGGTACGTATAGGCTAGGAGGTGGGTGAGGATGGGGATGTTAGGGCCAACAGCTACATTTGACTGACAGTCTCACCCATAGCCACATTGCCTTTGAGACCTGTGAGTATTCTTTCCCACAGATACAAACCAGGAGGGGAGCTGAGCAGAGGGAAAACTGTAAACATTAAGGCAGCTATGGCTGGAAGAAGAACACTTTCCCCTTCTACCTGAGGACCAGGGAGGGAGCAGGATGAAGTTACACAGGATAACTCATCTTAAACACTTTCTTCTCTGTGTGTCAAAACCAGGACCTGGTAAATAGGTACTGTGGGCACTCTGGCTTCCTCTGGCCAGAAGCTCCATGGTCCCTTGTTCTACCTCAGTGATCACACAGACATTCAGGCCTTTCCCTGGGCTGTTTCAAAGACGGTTGTTAATGGCTTTGAAGTTATTAAAAAGACTAAAAAGTACCAAAGTTTTCTACTTTCATCTTATCTGAGATCTTAAAACTCCTCAAACTTGTGTGAAAGGATCAGACATTTAAAAATTAAAAGGTATCAGGAGGGAATTTCTAGGAGATTCTATTTTGTTACACTCCAGTTTTAATAAGAACTTTGACATTTCCCTTCATGTCTGGGAAGATATACTTGCCCTTCTGAATCAAATTGAAAGGAAAAATACATTTTGTGTGGTTGCTAACAGAAATGTTTCCTAAATCCTCTTCATAATCCAAGGACTGTGATCCATCAGTGACTGACAGAACAATCTACTTTCTCTGTCTGAGTCTATAATAAGTTTTCATAGTAAGGACGCTTGGGATGGGGTCCATTGAGAGATAACATTCCTAATAGAAACCAACTGCCTTTGAACAGTGAAGTGACTGTCAGAGTTCCGAGTAAACCAGCACTTCTGATAACCACATTCATAGTGGAATTTGTTGTATTATTATTTTTAAATAATAAAGTTGTATTATTACTTTTAAGGTGTCACTGGTTGAAAACCATTTGGCTGGGCTTGAAGGAAGGGCTCTAGCTGACATGCTAGACTTCCTGTCCAAAGAGCTGGTGAGACTACAGGAAGAGAGGAGGATCCATGCCTTTGCCATGTTGGCAGAGCGTCAGCGGCGGATGCGAGAAGCCGAAGAGAGTGGTCGTCGCCAGGTGGAACAAAGGCGCCTGCGTGAGGAGGACCAGATATTTAAGGAGGCAAGTAGGGGAAGCCCAGGGCATGGAAATCCCCCGGAAACAGCAAAGTTACACCAAAGCACTCCCATGACAAGAAATGGCATTGGGTTTTCTTGTTTTTCATTTTATTCAGCAAATATATACTGGGTTCCTGCTATATGCCAGGAATTGTGCAAAGACACTGTGGGGTATTTTGGAGGACAAAAGGCAGACAAAGGCCCTTTTCCCTGGAAGTTGAGAATCATAAAACATGCATATAAGTGTAGAATTAGAAAAATGCAGCAGTTCCATGAAGGAAGCAAATGGAGCCCAGTGACACATTTTAAAGAGGTTACTCTCTTGTTGAATGGAGAAGAGGTGGGAGGAAGGACAGAGTGGGAACAGAGAGACTGGGAAGGAAGCTGTTGAAGTAGTGGAGCCTGAGGAAGAAACAGAAATCAAGTATGGTGCCCAGTTTAGGGCTTAAGCAACTGAAAGGTGATGGTCCTCTTTTCTGAGGTAGGTGAGTTGAGAGAATAAGTTTAGGGGTAGAATCAGGACTTCAATTTAAATTTGCTCAGGACAGCTGAATGGAGTTATTTTAATAGCTGCATATATAAGATATAAAGAATCCTTAAATACAATCACACTTTTGCAGGTACATACAGAAAAAAATTCACAAAAAAATAACCCAGTGTGCACAATTAGCAAATACAAAGAGGAGCACACATGGACACATACATAGCCATCTGTGTTTCTTTATTCACTCATACACTTACAAGCACAACGTGTCCAGAAATGTACCTATTTATAAAGACACACAAGAACATATATTATTGTGAGAAGAGCACACACCTTTCTACTTTTTTATGATCCAGCTGTCTGTTCCATATAGGTGTGACTTGCTTCCTCTATGAGAGCAAGCTATTGTATATTTGCTCTGTGCCTTCTCTAACAATAGCATAGATTCCCGGACCTACTAGACATTGAGCAAATACATTTTGGTTAGTTGGTCATTTGGTTGATACTATACTGAACTGTCACTGAGATACTCCCGTAGGGAAGGCCTAAGGGTTCAAAGTTGGTGTCATATAGGTACATGTTCAGTATCACATACTCAAACTTGTGCTGCAGTGCCTGTCAAGAAACAGGTCCTGGGTTGTTACTGAGTCCTAGGCATTATCTCAATTCCAAAGAAATATCCAGACATGAAATAGAAAACTGCCCTGTCTCCAAAAAAAAACTCACAATCCATTGAGGAGACAGAATATATAACAAAACTCAGTATGTAGCAGTTGATGCTTTCCTGTGTAAATACCTGTCAAATAGGCCAAAAGGCATTGCTTATTGTATTAGTCAGATTTTCATCACTGACAAAATTTATTTCAGTATTTCATCAAAATACCTGACAAGAACAACTTAGAGGAGGAAAAGTTTGGCTTACCATTTCAGAGACTCAGTTCATGATTGGCTGACCTCATTGCTCTGGGCTTGAGAGGAGGCAGAACATCATGGTGGAAGAGCATAGTGGAGGAAAGGTTCAGCTCATGGCAGCCAGGAAACAGAAAGAGAGAGTGGGGAGTCAGGGACAAAATATAACCCCCAGCAGCACTCCCCCAGTGACCTACTTTCTCCAGTCATGCCCCAAGTACTGACAACTACCATCCAGTAATACATTCAAATTATTAATCCACCATGTGGATTAATCCACTGATGAGGTTGCAGATCTTATAATCTAACTATTTCACTTCTGAATATTCCTGAATTAACACATAAGTTTTTTTGGGACTCCTCATAACCAAACCATACACTTATGGTTGCGCGCTTAGGGAGTAAAATTACAAAGCATAGTAGGTGTTTACTAGGACAGTCATTGAAATGAAAAGGGTCTGCAGTCATGTCCTTCTGAGGTACTAGCTGTGACTACATCGACGCTGGCCTAACTCACCGTATTGTACCTATGTGTACTCTGCACATTTTAAAATCTGTACTCCATTTCAAGATTTCAAGAAAATTTTAAAAAGAAGGAACCCAAGAATGTTGGGATAGTTCAGTAAGTTCTTCAGAGACACAAGATCCTCCCATCTTTCTGTTATTTGCCCCCTAGGTTATGGCCCATGTAGCAATTTAAGGTGACTACCTATGTACCAGCATTATGTCCCCATGAAATAAGAAAGAAAAAAAGAAGATAGAACTTTCCCTTTAAGAACTGTTTTTGGAAGTCACACACATAACTTCTGCATATATTGTCTTAGTTAGAATTTTATCATATGGCCGTGTCCAGTTCCTATGGGTGTTAGGAAATGAAGTCTTTATTCTAGGTACCTGTTTGCCCAGCTGAAATCCAGAGGTTATGTTATTTAAGAGGAAAAACAGAAAGGATATAGGGAAATGTGCTAGCCTCTACTACAGTTAGATAGGTAGGTTGGCCATGTCACGCTGTTGATAAAGACAAAGGCAGAAACCAAACCAGGGTTATTGCGCTGAAGCCTATGATCTTCATGTGGTGCTATATTACCCACCCCCCAAGTAAGAGACATATTTCTTAATGGGTAGGGGTGAATGAGAAACAGAAGGAACTATGGACTTAATGAATGAAATACAGGTGCTAGAAAACCATCAACCAATGTTTGTCTATTTTTTTGGTCTTTTTTTTATAATAGCTATTGTTTGTAAATAGGTATACTTTTGCTCTTTGCAGGTGGTTAAAGTTCATCAAAGTACTGTATCCTCATATCTGGAAGACATAATACTGAGTACTGAAGAAAATACTGCAGACGAACAGGCCAGAAAAGAAATTGAGAAGATGGCTGAGGAAATCAATGACATTGCTTATGAAATGGAAAACCGGTATGCACCAAGAGATTATAGAATGGACAGTCCATTTGCTGGTACTCATGTAATTTTTCAGGAGCTTAAGATTTTGCCACCAAGGAGAAACAAATATATAATTTGTGCTTTGATGTCTACTGTTTTATCATCATGACTCTTTACAAGTCAACATGACTATACCACTGTATGGTGGGAGCATTGGAATTGAATTCTCAGTTACCCTCTGTGATCTGGGTTATTTTCATACTATGTACTTTTAGAATACTCAGAAGCATGAAAACAATGTGGACATGTGTGTGTGCAACATTATTTGGATTTAATCCCAAGGTTTTGGGCTTATATTTGTAATCTGTAGTTCTAACATTTTTGTCCTACCAGGCCAATAAATGAAGGACAGGGTCAAATCCAGATTTTCCATGGAATTAAGCTCATTAGGAATGTGGTATTTCAGATCATTCAGTCAAGGAAAAGGTCATGACAGAATTTAGGCAGTGAAGTTGTTCATACATGCAAGGAAGATCTAAGTGCCATCAGCTCAAGTGAAAAACAAAGGAAATAGTTTAATTTTTTTTTTCTTTTTCAGTCGAACATATCTTCAGTCAGAGGAGATTGTTGCCGAGTTGGTTTATAGTTTTTTGATTCCAGAAGTGCAAAAAGAGTTTGTCAAAGAAAAAGGTAAACTGATACAAATGCTTCACTTTAGGATTTTTTTTTAAATGATGTAAATTATTTTCAAAATCCCAGAGATTTAGAACTTAACAGAGATGCAGGGAATTTCTGAAGATGCACTGTTTTCTTGTTTCAGAACTCAATAAATTCTTTTCCTGTTGTCTGACTGCAGAGTTTAGTCACTTGTCATAGAGATAGGATACAGTTCTAACAAGCTTGACAGAGTATCAAGATCCAGCTTTCTTTAAAAGGAGGTTCCTAGTTCCAAGAAGTGTATTCTATGGCTCAAACTGTGATGGCCTTTTGTAGCAGGGAAATATAAACTATGGGTATTAAAAACTGGGGGTGCCCAAAAGGTCTGTATCTATTCTGCTACTCTGCCTGAGAGTATTACACTTAGATACTGTAGATACTGCCTGAGAGTATTACACTTAGATACTGTATTTCTTCTGGACCTGTACCTAAATATAAATGTCCCAATTTATCATATTCAAAAGTGGCATATTTGGGGGCTGGGGTTGTGGCTCTGTGGTAGAGCTCTTGCCTAGCATGTGTGAGGCACTGGATTCGATCCTCAGCACTACATAAAAATAAATAAATAAAATAAAGGTACTGTGTCCAACTACAGCTAAAAAAAAAAAAAAAAAAAGAAAAAGAAAAGTAAAAGATTCTTCCAGAACTATGAGACTATTGGTGAGACGCCCGATCCTAGAGAGAGGGCTGCAATCAGGACAAGACCAATATTCAAGTGAAATAGCAATGCAGAAGCTTTTGGGATTATGAAGGGAATTTCTGGACAGATTTAAAGCAGAAAACTGTGCAATACTTGATTGCTTAATCAAGGATAGAGAGAATGGTAGAGGTCTAACACATCAGGACAAAGAGTCACCACATTTTCCTTCCTACAAGGTTGTTGTGTAATTTTAAAAGCAGTCCTCTCTAGTGATAGGCACTCAATGTTTCCAGTGTGGCTCTCTATTACTAACAGCGCTGCAACCAGTATATTTTATATGTTTCCTGGCCATGCTTCTGAGAGTCAATTCCTAGTGGTACAACTACTGGGAAACAGGGTACATGCATTTCGATAGATTCTACATAACTGTCCCACAAAAGGAGTGTTCTAATTTCTACTTCCAGCAACGGTTATGATAGTGCCATATCTATCTTCATAGTGTATGAAGTTTAATTTTCAGACCAAGTAATGTGTATTTCTGTATCATCTTACATTATAAAAGGGATCTTAGGTTTTCTAGATTCTTAAGAAAATATATAACTCATTTCTACTTCACCCAGGTCCAAAGTGAGATCAGCCTGTTCAGAGCCATTCTACTTGGAGGAATTCAAGGACACAGGGAAAGAGTGGGTTTAATATTTACTAGTTTGAGATCCCCTCCTGCACCTCCTCCTAGGGATGAGGGAAAGATTTGGAGGAGGAACTTGAATGGAGGAAATGCTGTGGGCAAGTTGCCCAAGTCCTTAGTCTCTTCCCTATATGTTTATGCCAAATCGAAAAAAGCCAAATGGACAGTGAGTGTATACTAGGAACCTGTTTCTTCTTTCAAATAAGAGATTATTTATGCTCCTTACCAAATGTGTTAAATATTATGTTTACCAAAAGTCAAGGTACTATTATATAAAGGCCATGTTGAGATATTTCACTTTTAAAAAAGCTGATAAAATCAGAAAGACCTTAAAGAGATATGTATATAGATGTAAAATAACAGTAACTGTGACATTTTAAATGCATGCTAAGTTACAAAAAGCAGTGTACTAAGCATTTGAAAATGTATATTATCTCAATTTCTTGCAACAGCTGTGAAGGTATTCTAATTTTTCACGTGTTTGGAAACACATGACTTGCAGAGTTGAATCATGGTCTGTATGGCTCCAAAGCACCCACTCCTTTGGCCATACTACTGTGAAGTGTAGTAAAACTGCTGAATGAATTACCCTATATAAAGTAGCTGATACCTAAATAGCAAAAAATCCATAGTACTTCTTACTGTCCTGTGCTAGCAGTATGACTTTGGATAAAGTAACTAATCTGTCTGTGTCTATGTTTCTTCTGAAAAAGGAGGATATTAATAATATTCTCTTTTACAATTGTGGGAAAATTAAATGACTACTCATATGTCAATTTCTTAAAATAGTGCCTAGCAAAAAGTAAGGAAAAAGGCTAACTGCTAACATCATTGTCATTATCATCAACATCAACACCTCTGACCTTTCCAAAGGCCTAGGTGCTTATCATTATCTATACTAAGCCCTGATTACAAATATTCTTAGAATTTGGAGCTGGGATCACCTTCTATAGTCATGAGACCAGACATTTATTATTAATAAGCAAAACTCCACATAGGAATTAAGGTTCAAAGAGAAGTGTGAGACAAGAGTCTCATTAAGACTAATCAATCATTTATAATGTTAGAAGAAAAGAAAATGTAACTCAAATGAAGTGCTTCAATGTTGATACAAATGCAATTGTGGGAAATGGCAAAAAAAGGTCTGACCTAATCAGAGCAGACTTCCTGGGGGAGCTGGTACTTGAACTGGGTTTTGCAGAAGGTTAGGATTTGGAGTGCAGTCTTTCCAAGTGAGAAAAGCTATGGAGGTATGACGTGGAGGCAAGTCTGCAGGGGAGGAAATGACAACTGAATTAAGAATGTGAATAGAGGGAACAGCAACAAATAAGGGATGGGTTTGCTTTACCTTTTACTTAGGAAGATGTCCTTTTAAAACAGAGAGCAGAGCATTGTTAGTAAGCCCAATCAGCCCTAAGTCAGAAAATATGTGATTCACAAAGTGATCATTTTTGTCACTACTCTCTTGAAAACATTTGGGAATGGTTTCATTCAGACTTTCAGAGAAAAAATTCTTCTGTCCCTTTTGCTCAGTGAGGAATGCACAGCGGAAACATATTCTTGCAGCCCATCAGATCATCCATCAGCACACAGAAGCCATGGTCCAGCGGAAATTTGTTGAGCGACCAAAAGATGAGGTCTCAAATGCTGACAAGTTACCCGAGGAAGGAACTCAAAATAAGAACAGCAGCTAAGGTGAGTTTGATTTTTCCATTTGGAAAAAGCAGAGGAGGAGCATCGTTCAGCATTGTGTTGTGCTCTAACAAGCACAGTGTGAATAGATTGTCCATTGTTTAAGAAAATAAAGAGCTTCCATTTAAATTGGCACATTTCATCTAGGTTATAGTACCTACTGGCTGCAATTATTACAGTTATTATGACAGAATTTGTACTCTTGCAATCTAAAAAACAGGCCTCTAAATTCTTTTGTGGGTTCTTTTAACATGTAACTATACTTTATCACAAATAAAGTTACAGAACATGTAAGGGTTGTCTTTAAAAGCTTCTTCTGATGGAGAGGGGCGTGCTGTACCCTAATGCACCATGCTAACTGTAAGCACAGCACAAGGCATGGAGCCTACCCAGTTCAGCCACTTCTGCAGTGTCTGCCAGGAGTCAGAATGAGCCTCAATTAAACATTCATACTCAGAAGACTAACTCAGGCCTCATTCGGTTGATTCTACACAGCAGAATATAAGAAAGGAAACAGCTTCCAGCAGGGCAACAGCAGACACTTCTCCTCCTGTAGTTCCCGCCATACCCACACACCTCTGTTTTATTTATATTTTATTAACATGCCTATTTTATTTAGTCCCCAGGTTACGAGCTCAGGTACAAGAACAAAGAGATTCAGGTTGTGGGGACAGGAACTGCCTTAGCTTATAAGCTTCCCGAGGGTGGGGGTGGGGCAGGGACAGACTCAAAAGTCAATTGAAGAACAAAAAGAGTCAAGTGATATTTTCAAGTGAATGTCCATTAAAATAGAAGGATATTTGGAATAAGTCTGAGTGTGTGCTTATTTACATGGTTACTAAATAAAATATAACAAGTACACAGGTACATCTCTATTGTTGTCATGGAGGCTCCATGTTAAGGTAATTGCTTTGTTCATCTTGACCATCTAAAAATTTTTTCTTTGTTTTGAATATTTGTAAGGTTTTTAAAAGTTAGCGTCAGTAAACTAATTGAAGCTATTCTTCTCTACTGGGACACATTTAAATTACTGAGTGTAGTACTGCTGCTGTTTGTTTTTCTTAGTTTAAAATGTAGGACTTGGTGTTTTAAAGGTTATTTATGGAGAAACTAAAACAGTTGCACAACTGACTGAAATAAAACACTTGGAATAAATTTAGTAGGGGGATCAGAAAGTACAAAAGTTTAACATTTTTTCTCCTAACTTTTAACAATTGATATGCCCTGCTTTAGTCTCTAAGAATTCTCACTACATACTATGTCCAGATTATAAAATACTTATTTTTAAAATGAAATCTCTATATTGACTTTCTTATCAATCATCTTATTGTACAATCAAAATTAGAGTTCTTTGGTTTGAAAACAACACATAGTGAACCTCCAGATAACTTTTAAGAACTTATTTAGCTTTGTGGGTGATATTTTCATGCAAATAAGTAAGGGGGGGATTTATATTTTGTAGAAATTTGGGATCCTATTTTAATGCTCTTTGTATTGCAGTATGTATATAGTGTGTTAAGTTCTTTAAGAATCTAGCCTTAAATTTTGAGGTTAATACTTTTGTGCAACTATGTTCTTTAATAAAGCCATGACAGTGTTAAAAACAAACAAAAAAGAGTCAAGTGAAAGTAAGTCCCATTCAAAAGGAATTATGGAAGGAAGATTGAGATAAGGGAAGAGATCTGAGAGAAAACAGATTCATGATTTTAAATGTCAATCTATGGTTGTAAATTACAGCATATAAGCTTTCGTCTTCAATTAATAATTCCTCAGGTGCACGTCCATGAAATAATATCTGAAATCAGTGAAGATCTAAACCATGTATTGAGGTATAATATCATCTATTATCTATTATCTCCTAAATATAAATTCAATGGCCAAAGCATTTTGCCAACCTTATTATTGTTAAAAAAAAAAAAAAAAGTAAGATAGAGGGTTGGGAATAATTTTTTGGACATGAAAATTTAATATTAGCAATTTAAACAGTTTGAATTGAATAGATATATATTTACTTCTGATTTTGATACCTGCTCTGTGACATCCTGTGGTGACCTGTGATGTCAAGTCAGAGGAGTAAAACAAAATCATCTTCTATCTACTTATTTAAAGTAAAATACATTTCATTTAAGCCTGTGTAAAGCATATATGTTAGTTATAAAAGCTAGTTGTAGCCCAGCACATGGCTCGGGAGGCTGAGACAGGAAGATCGCAAGTTCAAAGCCAGCCTCACCAATGGTGAGCAACCCAGGGAGATCCTGCCTCTAAATAAAATACAAAAAACAGGGCTGGGGATGTGGCTCAGTGGTCAAGTGCCCCTGAGTTCAATCCTTGGTACCAAAAAAAAAAAAAAAGCTAGTGGTAAAAATATCTAGTTGATACTCTAATGACAAACACTCAGCAAAGATGGCCAACCAATAAATTAAATGTTGGATATGAAGCTTAACTGTCTCCAAATTATATATTTCTCCCTTTTCTTACAGGGAGGAGAGAAGGGAAGTTTTGAGATTATTTTATAATATATACAGGGAAAAGAGAAGTAGGCATGAATCACTGATTGAAAGCATATACAGAAAATAGGAGGAACTTCCGAGGGCCTAAACATGGATGCCTGAGGCATTCCCGATCCTGGGGCCTAAACATGGATGTCTGAGACACTTCTGGATCCCAGAGCCTAAACATGGATGCCTGAGGAACTTTTGAACCTGGGGGCTTAAACATGGACGTACACCCAAGGAACTTCCGGATGCTACAGCCTAAACATGGAGGACTGAGGAACTTCCAGATCCAAGAGCCTAAACATGGATGAACACCTGAGGAACTTCCGGACCCTGGGGGGCCTAAACATGGACGCCTGAGGCATTCTGGATCCTAGAGCCTAAACATGGATCCCTGAGGAACTTCTGGACCCGGGGGGCTTAAATATGGATGTCCACCCAAAGTTCATGAACTTCCGGATCCTGGGGCTTAAACATGGACGTGCACCTGAGGAACTTCCAGATCCGGGGGCCTAAACATGGACGCCTGAAGCTCTTCCAGATCCAGGGTCTTAAATATGGACGTGCACCTGAGAATTTCCCGATGCTACGGCCTAAACATGGACGCCTGAGGCACTTCCGGATCTGAGGGCCCAAAGATGGACGTGTACCTGAGGAACTTCCGGATCCAGGGCCTAAATATGGACGCCTGAGGAACTTCCGAATCCTAGAGTCTCAACATGGACATGCAACTGAGGAACTTCCAGATCTGGGGGCCTAAACATGGACATGCGCCTGAGGAACTTCCCGATCCGGGGGCCTAAACATGGAGAACTGAGGAACTTCCGTATCCAAGAGCCCAAAGATGGACATGCACCTGAGGAACTTCCAGATCCGGGGCCTAAACATGGACGCCTGAGGCATTTCTGGATCCCAGAGCCTAAACATGGATGCCTGAGGAACTTCCGAATCCAGGGGCCTAAACATGGACGTGCACCTGAGGCACTTCCGGATGCTAAGGCCTAAACATGGATGTGGGCCCGAGGAACTTCCGGATCTGGGGGCCTAAATATGGACGTGCACCCATAGAACTTCCGGATCCGAGGGCCTAAACATGGACGTGTCCCTAGAACTTCTGGGTCCTTGTGCCTTGATCCCCCCCAGAGACAGAAAATAACCCCACACTGCCCAAGACTTATTTTTAAGCTTTGGATTCTGAAATTTTCCTGCTGCCACCTTCTTTGTGAAGCCAGTTTTTCAACAGAGACAATATTCCAGGGAGAAAAACAAAACAAAACAAAACATGGAGTCAATCAAACCAAGCTGACATATCTGGTCCTCCAAGAGAAATCTGGATTCTCAACTGGCGAAATAATGAAGTTCCCTTGTCCTTATTTTGTGTAAGCAAAATAAAATAATCTGATGTTAATCATCAAATTATTTTTGATGAGTGCTTGGCTCATAGGAAAACTGATTCTGTTTTATGGAATGAAGTGTTACCTGATTTTAAAATTTAAAATGAAGCCAATTAGAATTGTTAAATTACACTGTCATAATTCTGTTCTTTGATAGCAGAAATAAATAAACCTTTTTTAAAAAGCATATACAGAAAATATAACACATATTATATATATTTTAAGTGACCTTGAAGGCAATGGAAAGCTAATAAAGTAGTGAAGAACTTGTGGGTCAAAATCTAGGAGAGGACATAAATTCAGAGTGTTGGGTCTGGTATTTGGACCCAGTTTTTTCCTGGGTAAGTTCTAGAAAATGTGGCTGAGAAACTGAGCACTGCTTTTAAAAGCTTTACAAACTACTGGGAGAAAAACTTGAGTGAAGGGCTGGGGCTGGGGCTCAGTGGTAGCACACTTGCCTGGCATGTATGAGGCACTGGGTTTAATTCTCAGTACCGCATATAAATAAATTTAAAATAAAACAAAAAACAAAGGTCTATCAACAAATAAAAAAAACATTAAAAAAAAAAAAAAAAAAACTAGAGTGAAGGTTGAGACCTGATAAACCCACTCCATCTGGATTGGGTCTCTAAAAGTCCATGCCCTAGTAGTAAGGATGTAGGGAAGCAAGCTTTCCCTGCATGCTCTACAACTTAGCTTCTTTTGTAGATAGACACAATAACTTTATTTTATTTATTTTTTTATGTGATGCTCAGGATGGAACCCAGTGCCCACATGTGCTAGACATGCATTCTATCACTGAGCCACACCCCAGCCCAACAACTTAGCTTCTAATCATCCAATGATCCAAAATAAAAAAATTATCAATCTCTGAAATTGAATTAAGGATATTCTTGATTCTTATTATGTGAAGAAAACTGTTAGAAATAAAACTTAATTTTTATTTGGAGAAAATGAACAAGACCCTAGACCTCAATTTATTTTTACAAATATTTTTTATATATAATATCTAGAATGCAATAAATATCAAAGTACAGGAGGAGATACAACAACTTAAAGAAAGCAGCAGCAGAAACAACCTACAATGAAAACAGACCTAAATGGATCTAAAATATTGGAATTATTAGGTACAGGTTTTAAA